TAGTACAGGGGCATCAATCATTCGACAAAGGTTTAGTTCTACAAAGGGTGCTATACTACAGCGCCTAAACAATTAGACAACCTTTTCCGTCAAGAGTAAAAGAAGAACGGCTCGGAATAGTGGCTTTTGCATGTGGGCTTTAGTGCGAGGCCATTTGTACTAAGACCAGGGTTCCCTTTCAGGGATCCGTTTTGAGTTGCAAAGACTTAATTGAACATACGTGTCTGAGGCTGGTGCGAATTTTCCTGCAATAAGCCGTATAAGACCGTAGTAGCATAGTTATACTCTCGAACTTGTACATGCACCCGGCTGTTTTAGGTGAACCCCTATGGGGAGCTGCAACCTACAAATCCTACTTGTCTGTAGGCTCCCTATGCATTGCATGTTCAAGTTTGCAGAGGAACCTACGACAACGAAGGCTCTGCTAGCGAAAGGTATTGCCGACTAAACCCCCAATTGGCGAAAACTGTGTCTGGCTTCCTATGAGATCAGAAGGTTCGAGGCCACCGGGCCCCCCCTGGTTTTTTTTACGAAGGAAGGCTCAGGGCTTTAGGAATGCGGAGCCAAGAAGCTGGTGGACGACCATCACCTCCGAGAGATGGAGATGGGGCTCATGTGAGCTTGGGTAACAGTTCGGGTTTTGGGTGCAGGGCTCAGGCTTCGGGATTAGAGCTTTAGGGTTTAGGGTTGTTTGGTTATGGTTGCACCGACGCAACAACATCGCTGACGTTCGATGTGTCAACCAGCTCAGTCCTGCTTGCTTCGTTTGTAATTTGCAAAGCGCCAATGCGCTGACCTGCCCCGCGAACTGTCAGAAACCCTGGCCCTTGCTGCCGGAATGCACTTGTCATTCCGAGCTGGGCCAACTTCTTCCTTAGCTGGCGTGGATGCATTAAGGCAGGGATCTTAAACCTAGCCAAAATATCACAATTATGAAAAACCTTTCTCATACAACCCCCAACAACACCCTAATCTAATTCTTAAGAAACCTGTACGCGTCTGCAAAAGACCGACCAGCACGCAACCGTCACTTTCTGAGTGCGGGTGGGAGTCAATGAGTTCACGATGGACAAGGAGCTAGCGGCATCCAGACCTCGCCAGCGTGCATGAATCTGAATGCTCGCAGGCCTCTTTCTAGTTGGGTTCAGCCTTAAACCCTAAACCTCGAAATCCCTAAATAACCCTACGCTTCATGTGATGCATCCTTCAGCGAGCTGTGTCTACAGCTCGGAAAACGTGTGCTCCTCGCTAAGCGAGTCCTGAATCCCATGAACACCACGTTGAACCCCTCTGACCCTAAAAGTCTTAACCTTTGACCCCACCCCCTAAACCCGATAGACCCTAAACCCTTTTACTTCCCGAAAAGGAACCCATAAACATAACCCTAAACCCTGGACCCCTAAACCCTAAACCCTAACTCCCCTACGTCCCTAAAGGAACCCATAATCCCATAGATTCCCCTATGAATCCCTGATCATCCCTTTTAAAAGGAACCCATAAAACCACCAAAACGAGGCCTGACGTCGGCTCGTCGAGGAAGAGCATCGTCGGGTCCTGCGGGTATTTTAGGGTTCCTGCAAAAGGATCTATAGGGGTTCCTTAAAGGGATCTATCAGGGTTCTATAAAGGGTTAAGGGTTTAGAGTTTCCGGAAATTTGGGGTATCTTTTTTTTATAGAGGATTCCGGGTCTAGAGTTCAGGCTACTGTATTTCCCCAAGGGTCCAAAGGACCCAATAATCAGGTACTCGGCTTTAGGATAGTAGTTATGTAGGTTAGGAATTCGGAGAGTATATGATTGTTGGGTGTTTGGGTTATTTGGGTAGTGGGTGATTGTAGGGTGCAGTATAGGTTCCTAGGGTTTAGGTTCTGGCATTTTGGTTTTACATGATTTTACGGCAAACCTCAAACCCTAAAACCCTAAAACCCTAAACCCTAAAACCCTAAAATCCTAAACCCGTAAACCCCAAACCCTAGAAGCCTAAATCACAACCCCAAACCCAAAAATCCCAGAAGAGTTTTCGGTCCGCTGCGAGCTCGAGGCCAATGGATACACGCTTGCGCTGCCCTGGCGCCAGGGAGCTTCGACGGAATCATCAAAGACGGATACAGGGGTTTTGGGTTTTGGGATTTGGGTTTAGGGTTTCAGGGTTTAGGTTTTAGGGTTTAGGAATCATCAAAGACGGATACAGGGGTTTGGGTTCTGGGATTTGGGTTTGGGGGCCTTGATATATCGACTTCCACGGGCTTTACACAGTGGGCTCCAGAATGAGGGCGTTGGAGTCCATGGTTCGTATAGTGCCACAGGGGTGCCGAATGATTTTGCGTTTAGGGTAGGGGTTGCGAATAGTATTCATAGTTGTTAAGGCTGTTTAGTAGTAGACGACTCGGGGCGCAAGATGTTGGACACTGCTTGAGGCCAAACCCTGAAACTCTGAACACTGAACCCCCCGAATTTGGTGTCCAACCCGAAACCCTAAACCCCAAACCTGAACCTTAAGTGCTACAGAGCTCTAGCAATTCCCACAGCCAACCTCCGGAAATGCCGCGCTGCTCCAATCCGCCGACGATGGAGTTCTGGATGTTGCCTTCGGTTCAGGAACCCTACTCAACCATAAACACGACACACCGAAATCCTGATCCGTGTAACCCTAATTAGCCCCAAACCCTCGTAAGCCTTAGCCCAAAACCACCAATCTGTTAAACCCCCAAACCATAAAGCCCCCAAACCTGTAAACCTAAACCGTAGAACACTGGGCCCTTGCCTTTACTTCATTTAAGAACCTTCCAGGCTTCATGGTTTGGGCCTTGGAAAGGCTCAACAAGTGCAGACCGCAGTCTGCAGTCTCCAATACCCAAACAGGGTAGAGTACAGACTTGCGGGGCCCAACTGTCTATCAAGCACCTGCTATATTGGTACTTGGACCCTTTGGGCTACAGGGGCCTTGTACTGGGAACAGGGTTTTGGTGTATGTGATACTGTGGCTTATATGCTGACAAAGAGGGAACATCTCAACCTAAACTTAAGCGCCCCTAAAGAAAGGTATAGTAGAGCCCCTTTGTACGCCGATCTCACTGCAAACCGATTCCAGAACCCAAGCCAACACGTTCAACACGTGACTCAAACCCGGATCTTTCAGACCTGAGTACTGAACCCTGACACCCATAAACCCTGAACCCCAAAATCGAAACCCTCATATAAACCCTAAGCCCTCAAAATGAGAAGAAACCCTCAAACCGTGAATCCTACATAAAAGAACCCTTAAAGGAACCCTTAAAGGAGCCCTTAAAGGAACCCTTTTTTCGTAACCCTTAAAGGAACCCTAAACGAACCCTGTTGTGAGGACTCCCAGGGCTCCCGGCTCAGCTGCATGACGTTCAGGACGTCTTCGTAGATCAGCTTCCGATGGTGCGTGGTCATCTCCTCCGCTCCGGGGCTTTCCACTATGGGCTATTAGACCCTATAAAGACCCCTATTAGGACCCTAGTAAGGGTAGATTAAGGTACCCATAAGGTCTAATAGCCCATAGTGGTTCAGGCTTTCTTCAGGGGGCCCGGTTTAAGGTTTAGGGTTTAGGGTTTAGGGGGGCCTTCATAAGGGAGGATAGGGCCCCTTAAGAGATTCCTTTTTGGAGGTTCTATAACAGGGGGCATTTAGGGTTTAGGCTTCCGGAAGTTTGTGCTGTAGGCTGTTTTTTTTGGGCGTTTAGGGGGGGATGTTCGGACCTTTAGGAGGGTTTGTGTTTTTGGGCTTTAGGATTTTCGGGGTTTAGTGGACTTTCATAATTCGGGAAAGTATAAGGGCAGGTTTCCTTTGAGAGTTCCATGAGTTAAGCTGCTTTAGGGCTCCGTAGAAGGGATCCTAGAAGGCTTTAGTCAGGATTTGGGCTTCAGGGTGTTTAGGCTCCTGGGCTTTAGAGTTCAGGGTTTAGGGTCTTTCGATACACGGCTTAGGAATCCGGAAAGAGGCCAGACAGTTCGAGAAGAGTGTCATGAAACCGCTATCCGGCTTTCTCAAGGCTGCAAAAAAATTAGTCTTATCAGGACCTTATAGGAACATTATCAACCTTTGTTTTTATATATTTTTGCACATCATCGGATTGTGCCGATCCCTTGCTGAAGGAGCATGCTCAAAGTCCGCGCGGGGCCTTCTCATTTGCGAGTTACGAAAAATTCTCATGGTAGTTGAGAGAATGAACAATCCCAACACCAGATCTCTCTGCTTCAATAACCGAGCCCGAAAAAGCTTAAACTTTGCAAGGCCCAATCGATCAGGGCCAAGAAGTGTAAAGTTCTGCCATTGCCTCTCTTAGCAACCCCAGACCTTAAACCCGGAATCCTAAACCCCTAGACCCCAAACCGCTGAACCCTTAAACCCTAAACCCCTGACCCCAAACCTTACATAAACCCTAAGTCCTAAACCGCAAAATAGCATAGGCAAGCATTATTGCAATAAGGAGTCCCCAAAACCCTAGGGATCAAAATAGCCCAAAAGCCCTATACTGCATAGCAGGGTCTTTGGGCCCAAAAGCCTTAATGTATGAGTCCTTGGATCGCTAGGGAAATGGTATAGGTAATTATTTCGGCCCCATTATTACACACCCCGACCTGGCCTTCGGGTTCCTGAGGTCCGCAGAGAAACGAATCTGCTCGCCCACGGTCAAGCCCTGACGGCAGAGACACTCTTGTGCTTTACGGTTGCAGGTTTAGGGCTAAGGATTCAGGGGTTTGGATTAGGTGTGCTTTACGGTTGAAGTTTAGGGCTAAGGATTTAGGGTTTAGGATTCGGGATTTAGGGTACAAACTTCAGGGTTTGGGGTCAAGGATTTCGCCTCGCGACTAGCCAGAAACCTTGACAGACCGTCCAAATCCACATAATATACTCACATAGACTCGTAGAGCCAACATACAACACCGTACCACCCTGAACTAATCTTACACCCCGAAAAAAACCCTAAACCCTGAACCCTAAACTCCTAGACCCTGAGCCCATGCTTTTTCCTCAGGCCAGCTGTGACTCGAGCGACTTCAGATCGTCACCCAGAGCGGCGAGAACAACCGGAGGCGGGTCCTCCGTAGTCTGAGGCTTGGGGTCATGTAAGGCTCGATCTTCGGGTTCATAGACATAGGGTTCCCTTTAAGGGTACTATGGGGTTCTATAATAGGGTCCCCTTTAAGGGTACTATAGGGTTCATATATAAAAAATTAAGGTTTTAAGTTCCTGTAAGGCTTATAAGGGGTTCCTTTTCGTGGGCTTTCAGGGGTAAAGCATAGTCTAGAGTCTCTATAGTATCCGGGCCTTGGGGTGTTCAGGCTCCTCTACAGGGTTCCACGCATAAGGGCCGATTTCGCCAGGGCTCCACAAGGCGAGGCGTTGGAGGGTGTTCTACGGCCTGTGGTTCTAAGGCGCGAAGATTCACCTTGTGTATGGGTAGTTCTTTTGTTCATCCTCTTTGAGGTCCTTGTGCTATTAAGGGTGCCGTATTAGTTTGGGGACCTAAAACGAGAGTGTAAGAGGATCCCTGGTATGCCCTAAACCCTAAACCCTAAACCCTCAAGTTCGTGGGGACCCGGTATGCCCGCACGAAGCGCCAAGCCCTGAACTCTGAATCCTCTGCCCAAGGCCTCCATGTGCCCAGACCTTCCAAAATCCCTTAATTAAGGAATATACCTTAAATTATAATAGGATCCCTAATATGATTTTTATATTATAATAGGATCCCTAATATGATTTAAGGTATATTCCTTAATTAAAGGATTTGGGAAGGTCTGGGTGCCCCAACCCGCAGTCCCTATACCCTACGTCTTATCGGCTCGAGGCCAGGAAGCTCTCGGGGGGGGAATAATACTGTTGATGATACAAATCCTGCATTACCTTAAGGACCCTAACCTATGGGAGTTATGGTTTAAGGAAAAGGGACCCTAAACCCTAAACCCTAAACCCTAACCTATGGGAATTATGGCATATTCCTCATTATGGGGTGATGCAGGATTTATATCATCAACCGTAGCGTTGGCTAGGGGCTTCAGATGTGGGAGTTTCCGAAAATAGGGGACCCTCACATAGTACCCTAGATGTTAGGATCCTTATTATAAGGACCCCCAAATAAGGTACCCTTAATTTTCGGAAACTCCCATTGAGCGTTGGGATGTCGGGCTCGAGGTAGCAAGGGGCTATCTCAGCAATGTGCGGCTTGAGAAGTTCAGGCTTGTGGCTTTGCTTTGGTGATGGAATGTCAGGAGATGTTGCTTCAAGAAGCCATCAGAATGAAGTCATGGATACGAACATGCGTATACACTCGAGACCCCATATATTGGAGCAACCTGATTTTTGACTTCGATGTTGCGCGGGAGCTATTTCCAATTGCTCCATGCTCTCTCGGTGGCGAACCGGACCCTAAATCCTAAACCTTATAAGTCTGACCCTAAACCTTAAAACTTGAAGCCCTAAACGCTGAACCCTGAACCATCTGCCGTGCACCTCATGCGCAGCCCCGAAAATGACGTCCAAGATCCTTGGATGACATGCATGATGGGGAGCCGGGCGGAGTTGAAAAGACACCGCAGCAATCACCTTGAAATTCAAAGTTTAGGGCTTAATACTTAAGGCTTTAGAGATTAGGGGTTTCAAGCTGCAACAGACTGAGCAGACAGGGTGCTTGTTCGAGAAAGCCTTCATCACGCGCCGGAGAACCGAGCTAAACTTGGGCATCTGGAAATGCCTTCGCCGTGGGGTTTTGGGCTTCGGGCTTTGAGTTTCGGATTCAGGATTTACGGTTTAGGGTTTATATAGGGTTTAGGGTTTAGGGGTTCAGGGTTTAGGGTTTAGGGGTCTTGGGGCTATTATGTCTACGAGTTTCCAATCCTGTTAGGGCTTGCAGTCAAGGGTTTGGGATTACGGCCACCCGGTCACCCTCCCTCGCTATGTAAAGTTTTCTGCAGTCTATTGAACCATAATACTCAATAAGAACACTCAAAATAGTATTGTGGTATAACGGGGTACAAGGTTATACCACATACATAGTAAGGTTATCGAAGCCGTTACTGTGCTATAGCCATACATAAAAGGAAGGCCCACAAATACTACTGGAAGCTATTTTAGGCCCTGGTGCGACCAAAATCATGCGATGTATCCTAAGCCCTAAACCCCTAAACCCTTGAAAGCAAAACCCTGAACCCTAAACCCCTAAACCTAAACCCAAAATCAACGTGGGATGCATCGATGCAGTATGGGTCAGAGCCTGCCGACAGGCTCTGCAGTGTAGACAAAAGAGCAAGAATTCTAGTAAGAGTCATGATAAGGCAGTATATAATGGTAGAAACCATCTTAAGATAGACATACATAGTAGTAAGAACAATATAAGTGTAATGATAATAGCAGTAGTTGTAAGACATATTCAAGTTAGTAGTAATAAAGCTCATGACTGTTCTGACAACCATGCTGTCGATGCATACCAATCGCTGGTGCTGAGTCTCCGGCACACTCAAGTGCACCTCATCACCTGCGAATGTGGGTTGAATGCGGAGCTTCACCCGTTCCCATGTCCAGTGGCATCTCAATGTGTCGAATTCTGATGAGACCAGGGTACCTAGTCTATCGCTCTCTTTAACTGAAGTTTGCTTTTGTTTCTCTCTCTCTCTCTCTCTCTCTCTCTCTCTCTCTCTCTGTCTCTGCACACAGAGAGATAAGTATGTATGTACGGATGTGTGCATGCATCGGTGGATGGATGCATGCATGGATGGCTGGATTCATATATGTATGTGTGTCTATATGTACACAAACATGTACAGGTTGAGAGCATGTGCGCAGGATTATGTTTATGACCATACACTTGTTTTAGAAGTGTATGTTTGCGAACATACACTTGTTTGCTTACATTTGGTGTAGGGGGGCGAAGCACATGCACAATGCTTGAAGAGCTCCGGGCTGTTCACTGTGCTCGAGTTTTCGGGGATCGCCTTCTTCGCGTGGTTTGTGCCTCCCTCCCTCCCTCCCTCCCCGGATGGTTCAAGCAGACCCAGGTAAATCATAATGCTTGAACCCGAAATCCCCAACTCCAACACCCTAAACCCTTAACCTGTGACCCCGACGCCTTGCACTAATAACCCTGCAATCCTGGAGGCCCAAAGAATCCGTTCAGGTGCCTTTTGGGGGACCCTGTATATGAGGTATATACACGATTAGAGGAACCCGCCAGCCTTCGAAGCGACACTCCACTTCGAGGTGACGAACCAGCAGTGTCCGCATGTGAGTCACATCGAAAAGTGGACTGTAGAACCATTCCTGGGATTTAAAGAGGGCTTGGGGTTCATAAGGGTTTTAAGAGGATTTCTGGTATAGGGTTTAAGATGGTTGAGGGTTTGGATCTACATCTTGATTACGGCATGTACCTCAAAGTTTCGGGTTGGGGGGGATGGCTCGCTGGGCAATGCTTTGCTGAGGTGGCACGGCGGTAGCTTGCCACAAATGGTCAGGCAAAATAACCTTGTGCCGCAGCAAATCGAAAGAACAGAAGCTCCCGGAAACCCTACCTGAACCTGCCAAAACCTACTTTTTTGTAGTATCCTTATAAAACCCATATTAGGGTTACAATAAGAACCTACAAAAAAAGTAGGGTTTGGTAGTTTAAAGTAAACCCTAAACTGCCAAGCTGCCATAGGGAAGTGGCCCATCTCCGAACATGACACACGAAAGGTTGGGTGCGGCTCACCTCAACTCGGGTCGCTCTCTGCTGATTTCGGTTTAGGCTTTGGGGCTTTGGGTTCTGATTTCAAGGTGGCAGCCATGAAGTCTTTATGACAGGACCGTGGATGTGCTTTCTTCCATGATTCGATCAAGGCTTACAGTCGGTTTAGGGTTTAGGGTTTAGGGTTTAGGGTTCGCCTGATCACAAATATCTCTGCTACGGGTACATAGTAACTGGCATAGGGGCCTCAGTTTCTGAAAAAGGGTTTTGCTTTACTGCATCACGGGGACAATATTAGTAGTCAGGCCCTTCTACCAGACCTTCCAAAACCCCTTAATTAAGGAATATACCTTAAATCATATTAGGGACCCTACTATATTTTAAGGTATATTCCTTAATTAAGGGGTTTTGGAAGGTCTACTGTTGCTGCCAAAGTGCGACTTGCAGTCACGTCAAAAGACAACGGCGGAAACGATGCGGTTCCAAAGCAACCTGGGCGTCAGGTCGGACAGAATCTTGCGAACCCTATTCAATTCCTCCAGTTACCTAAATACGGTTGATGATATAAATCCTGCATTACCCATAATAAGGAATATACCATAAATTCCCATAGTCTAGGGTCCTTGAGGCAATGCAGGATTTATACCATCAACCGTCAGGTGCACGATCACCGTGACATTCACTTCCTTCTTCGCCGCTATCATTTCCAGTGCCATCACCACCACCCCCCATCAACCATGAACATGAGCGCAATCAGCGTCCTCTCCTCGCCGTCGGCCAAGATTGGCCATTGAAGGTTACCATCACCCACAACATCATCATCACTGACATCATCACCATCGACCATCTAAGTATTCCTGCTTCTGACTGCTATCAATGTCCTTGTCCAGTTCACCCGGAAGAAACGTACGCTATCCTCAGGGCACAAGACTGTCGAACACCACGTGGGAAGCTGATACTGTACTACACATCAAAGCTACGTCGACTTTGTCTCCTGACACCGCATCTCTTAGGTAACCTTATGTCCCTTCATCCCAAAAGCCTGGCACCCCCCTTGGGAGACCCGGCCGTAAGTAAGTCATGCAGCCCCTTGGATCCTGATAGTGTAGGAACCTGATTCAGAAACCTTGGGTCTTTATCGGGGTTCCTTTTTTGAATCCTATTATTTTGGGGTTAGAGGCCCAGCGTTTCTTAATCAGGTTCCTACATGAGTATGCTGCGACCCCGAGGCCGAGACCCCTGCTATGTGACCATGTTGAGCCCAGCTGATGCTTAAGTTGAGCCGGGTGGCCACAACATCGCAGTGGCAGGTGGATGTCAATCACCTTAGGGATTCCGCTTCGGGTTTTGAAATCACGTTCGGGTTCGAACTGAGCCGACAGCATCGCAAGTGCCACCATGGCGCTTAAAGAGAACTTGCAACAGCAATCCCTAATGCAGCATTTCACAGCAAGCAGGCAGTTGTAGGGCCCCTTGGGTAGCAGTTCGCCACGATAGCTTCACGCTTCCGCCTCCAGGTGCAAAACCTTAAACCACATGAAGCCCTACATGTTTTCAAAGACCTCTGTCCTGCCAGCAGAGACCCAAAACAGCGACGGAGCACCTGGCAGTCCAAGCCCTGCATACCCAAGAAACCTTCCCGGAGCACTCATCAACCTCCCAAAACCCTGAGCCCAAAACGTGCATCCCTAGACACCCTACGTCAACTCCACACACCCTAAACCCCACAACCTAAACCCCTACACCCTGAACCCCTAAACCCTATAAACACCATACCCTAAACCCTGAATCAGAAATCCGATGCAATTGCTGCCCTGCCGCCCTCGCTTTGAACGAAGTGTCCCAAAAGCTTGGAACCTGCCGGGGGCAGAAGCCTACCGAAGGTGTTGATAATGGAGGGGCCTTAATGGTTCGAGTAGGGCCTAGGGTTCCTTTGAAGGGTTCTTCAAAAGGGTTCGAAAAGGGGGTAATGTTATGGGGTTATAATGTAAGGACCGTCCTTGTAAATCTTGTAATGATTAGGATGGGGTTTTGGGGTATATTATGCTGTAAAGATAATAGGGAACTCTAAGGTGCAAATAGGTAGTTGTTGAAGCTTCTATATCAGAGTCCGGGCTTTACGTCTTGGGGCTCTAAGCACTTTGCACACCAGACCCTACCAGCAACCCGAACCCAAAGGAAGGGCCTTCACAACCCACCCTTTAAGGGAACCCCCCAAAAAAATGACCTTATAGGAATCCTTTAACGGAACCCTTATTACAGTAGAAGCCAGAAAGTTGGAACATCATTATCCTCCTGCCCTTACAGTAAAGCATAGGGCATGGGGAACGCCACCATGAATCATCCAAAACCTATGTTACAACTTTCTGGGCCATTCAGGATGGGCCTCCACACAACCCTTATAGCAACTCCTATATAGAACCGTTTATGGGAAGCCTGATTAGGGTTTAGGGTTTAGGGTTTAGCCTGAAATAATCCCTTATCGCAGCCCGTTAACCGAGGCCTGAACAGAAAATCCTCAGTCCCCAGAGACTCCAATATCCCTTAATTAAGGAATATTCCTTAAATCATAAAAAGAATCCTATTATAATTTATGGTATATCCCTTAATTAAGGGATATTGGAGTCTCTGGGTCGCATGGGCCTCCTGAGCACTGCCATTCTTCACCCAAGGTCGCCCTTTTGCGTCTGCCCAAACCTGGAGTCAAAGCGAATCGGAAAGGGTTTAGGGGTTTCGGGGTGTAGGGCTTTCGGGGCTAAGGGGTATAGGGCTTTCGGGGTTTAAGGATTTTAGCGGTTAAGTAGGAGTTTTGGGATTCCGGGTAAGGAGTCCTGATTTTTGAAGGGGTTTAGGCTTTAGGTTTGAATGGTCTGGAGGGGTTAGGGTTGTGGGTTTGGGGGTTTTAACAGTCTAGAGCTTACTGACATGGGCTTGGAAAGTTACGGTCCGGAACTCATGTTAGCCACACATCCGACTTATGGGTCGTTACCAGTTTGGGACCCTGTATTACTTGAGGGGGGCGAGCGCCAATGGCAATGCAGCGTTGGCACCAGCTTCCCGGATTTCGCCACGAAGAAGGTGACCTGCGGTGCAGGCTTGCTTGCTAGCAGTTTGCAGCTTGAGGCCAACTCCAAACCAAGATCATATGAAGTCACAAAATACCAAGAGATAGACCCTACAATCAAATTGTAGCCGCATTTATGTTGCCGCATCATGATGTTATTATTGGGTCTGAAACCGAAAGTTCATTCACCCAACGGAAACACTAGGTCATAAGGTCTAGGCAGATTCCCTTATTCATCGCCCTAACTGCACAAAAACCTTAAAACCCGAATGCCTAAAATATACCCACAAACCCTACAACATACGAGGTTATTGTAGCCCTTTGTTTAAAGGCATAAAACACAAGGTATTTTGGATTCATAGCTAAACCCTTGACAGGCAGATACCCCGTCAACGCCAGGCTCGCAATGACCAAACCCCTCATCCCAGCGAAACCAAGCCTGTCTTGGCATACCCGATACCCTCTTTCAGAACTTAAAGACTCATGCAGGGAAATCATAATAAGGAGCGCCAATCTGGTAGTAGGATTGATCTAACTTAAGTATCTTGAATCCCTACCCCCGCCCCCCCAACCCCCAGAGTTGGAAGTATCCCGAACTAACCCCAAACCCAGCCCTACCAAAACCTGTCCCACACCATATAGTATACTCCGAGTCCGTCATAAGACTCTATTCCTGCAACCTACCGAACCCTTACAAATCCCTTGAAGAGCCCGAGCTCTTCCTTAAGAGTGAAGTTAGCCCTAAAAGGGTTTAAGGCTCATAAACCACATAAGGATTCAGACTAGTATAACGGTATAAGGGTATATAGTGCCCCTACTTTTCACCCTAAACCCTAAACTCCAAAACCCTTAACCCCAAAACCCTTAACCCCAAAACCCTGAAGCCCTAAACCGGAAAAAGAGGTTGCCCCGGCCTCCAGGCGGTGACCCTCCATTTCCTGCAGCCGCAGTGCGAGGCGTTGGGAGTTCAACTCCTCCAATCCTCGGGGTCTTTAGCGGTTCTCCAGGGCATGAGGCTCTATAGGGTGTAGGGATGTAAGGTTTCCGGGGTTAAGGGTTTCGGATTTTAGCAGCTTAGGCGGGCTACTGGGTTGTGGTTTACTATAGGTTTTAAAGGTTCCAAGAACACTTGCCCACGTTTGGGTATAGACGGTATGGCTAGTTCGGTTTAAGGGGTTTAGCTTGCTTGACTATCAACGACATTTTCTTGCTGGTATACGGGTATATAATGCGGGTTCTACCAGGTACCATAAGGTTTGCAGATATTTCCCTTGACGGCTGCGTTCTTCTTTGGAGGTGGGGAAAGGAAAGCCTTTATGCTAATTGAGGGTTTTGGGGCACTGTAGGCTTCAGGGTCTAAAGGTGGTGGTTTTCGGTCCAAGGTCATCCGTGAAGAGCTGCACGGGGCTTGCTGACGGGGAGGTTGGCAAACAGCTTTGAAAGCTGACTGGTGTGCAGACCTTCGTGCTCGCCGGGCTCTGGCGGTGAAGATTTTGCAGTACAAGCGTGCTGCCTTCGCTGATTCACACGCCTTCCTTCTTCAGAGTTTGCGGGCGTGATCTTGAGGGTATGATGGGGTGAAGCCGGCGTCATCTTGCCCTACAGACATACCCGCAGGTTGGCAAACACAAGCCTAATGAACAGAAGCGGCTTGTAGGCTGCGTCTCTGCAGATGGTTCTGAAAGAAGCAAGATGCAGCTGAGTTCAATAGCAGCATCTGCTGTAGGGTTTCAGGTGTACCGTTTATCGCCTCTTCGTGCTGCGGTCAAGCCACGAAAGTCGTACATCGGGCGGTCACGAAACAAGTGGTACCTTGGATTTCAAGACGGGGAACTCCCACATCCAAGGAACTGCTGTGACATCCCTGTAAAGCCTTGATAACACACCTAAGCCTTGCAAGCCTTACAAAACCATGCAGAATCCAGAAAACCATATAAACCCTTGCAAACAGGAAACAAGCGTCGTAAAAGCCTTCGGCCGACCTCCTCAGATTCAATAAAGCGCCTATAAAACCTTGCTTGTATTGATCGAAGAGTTCGTGTCATGCTTACCGCTGTCCCAGATAAGCCTTATGCAACCCTTCTAAATCTTAGGCAACCCTTGCCCTAGACAAGCTAGAAAAAGCCTATACTTACAAACCCTACTCAAAAGCCCTGCCCAATCCTCACAGGCACGTTTTTGATCAAGCGGCTGGTTCTCGCCGAACCGCCGCCGGATCGCCTTCAGATTCCACTGGCCTGGCAAAATGCACCCATGCTCAGTTCATATAGGCGTTTTGATAAACACACTAGTCACAGATCTTGGACATATGATCCTAATTACAGTATGAAGCCAAAGGAATAGCACTGGTAAGCATTTAAGCCGCTGCGTGATAATGAACGGTCGTAGAACAATCTGAGTTCATGGACTCCCAACGGATGCTGTAGTGTTTTGACTCCAAATGCATAGTTTCCGAATAAAACCGTAATGAAGGAACGCTGGAGTCCCAGGAGTTTCGAGACTCTGACGAGGCCCAGGCAGGACCAGCGATGGCAAAGGACTCCTCCAAATAGCGGCTTTTTGAGAACGGAGGCGGTGCTTAAATCATCGGGGCCTTCAGAATGTTCGCATCAGTCCTTGTATGCGTTCTACCAGAAGAGTCCGATAATAATTACGGGCTTTAGGCTTTAAGGTTTCATGCGGATTTAACGAGGGTGTGATATAGGGGCCTTCGTATGAGGAAGGTCTTTTGGGGTATAGTACGTGCCAACTACAGTAAGGAACCGTCCGGAAGAGTATCGCGATCGATTCAGGCTCCTATATAGTATTCACGCTCAGCAGCCTGCTTGCTGAGTACCCCGGACAAGAAAAAGGCTGAACTTTTTCATTGTGTAGGGCGACGTGAATCTGGACAAGTATAAAGTGCTACCGACTTTGAAAGGAAAACAAACTCATGCTGCGGATGATCATGCACATTGCCTGCTGGAGTGTGATGCTTTGCACTAAGTATGGAATTGCTGCTGGCGTAGCCGTCACTTACACCCGAAACCCGGAACACATTCATGTTGCTGTTGCGGTGTTGCTGCTTGTTTTGCTGCAAAGCTCCAATTGTGGCTTGCGGGCTTATGAACTATCTATTCAGCCATGACAAGACATGCTTAAAGTTCGAGACTATGCGATGCTTGACACCTGTGGAGATCTAACTAGCTAACAATGCAACACCAAAGCCACAACCCAAAACCACCGAAACCCCCTGAAAAGCCAGAAAACCCTACAACAAAATCCTGAAGAGCCGAGGCCTGAAACCCCAAAGCCCAAGGTCCTGGCACGGAGAGCTCCTCCGTTATCTCGTAGCGGTTGCCCTGCACCACGTCCTGCCACCGATGGCACCGGAAGACTCACCACTAAGTCGAAATAGGGGAATCCCGCCCCAAACACCCAGAAATCAAGATATCCCCAAACCCTTGAACCCAAGATCACGACGCTCGGAAAATCTCGGAAACAGCCCTACGACCCCTAAGCCTCTGCCCGCCCTCCCAAGCGAACGAAACAACAAACACATGCCCACGAAGTAGCATAGCGCTAGTAATGACGAAGAATGATACTATTGCTGGTACTTGTCGAGATAAGCAACTGCTCGGAACGCGACTTAAAGTTACATGTCTAGAAACTGGTACTGCTATGATCAGATCGCATGCCTGCAAAGCCCGGCTCGTCTCCGGTAGCTGTGACGAGAGGGCAGATAGCAGCGCCTCAAAGCGAGTTCAATGAAGGCAAGGGTTTAGGGATTTATGAGTATGTGGGTTTCGGTCAGGGTGTTGGGGTTTCGGGGTTTGGGGTATCCGGTCCCTCTAAGAGGAGATCCTGTACCGCATCAGAGCCGGCAATCATCGTTAGCGAAGAAGGCAGCTGGTTTAACTGGTTTCAAGGAGGCCTAAACCCTAAATATCTCCAATAAAATACCGAATGCTTTCCCCGCAAAGCACGAGTGGCGATTAGCCGACACTTGGAAGATTTCCCCGCACCAGATATGACAAGGATTCCGAAGTTGAAGCGGCTTCTCGCTTCAGATGTAGGGGTTGCAGACTCTCGGAATGGATCTCGGTGACGATTCAATGTTCAATGTCACGTGTAACAAACCGATCATATATATATATATATATATATATATATATATATATATATATATATATATATATATATATAGATATGTGAATATATATATATATATATATATATAAATACATATGTATGTATGTAGCGGTGAAATCTAGGGTGAAAGACAGAAACAACAAACACATTGACTCAGCCACGGCCGGATCCATGGAGCTTGGTTTTTTTCTGGAGATCGCCGCGGAGATCTTCTTGCAGATTGCTCAGACTTGTTTTCCTGTAAAGTACTCCCGGAAGCATCAAGACGGCTCAGGCTTCCGGCTCGAGGTGGCTTTGTCGGCTTTGTTCCGTTGGCTTGGTGTCTTACAAGTCCATACTCCAGGTAGGGTATGCAGATTGGAAGGAAATGACCTCTCTTGCAGTAAAGATCGCCACGCAGCTTGCGATAGATGCCACCCTTGTATTGTGCTGCGTCCTGTGTCAGTACGCAGGGCTGGGTCAGGCAAGATGCATGCTGAATCGCGGAAGTTAAGAAGTCCTCCCAGGGCCAACAATCTCTGTATACATCTGCCTGCAGCAATCGTACTACAACTTTGTGCTGTTGCATTGCCCAGTACTCCTTCTGAAAGTCTCTCTGCAGTACTCCTCCATCGTCCGCAGCCCCGTTCCATCCACGACCGAAGTGGCCAATGTCACCATCCAACTCGATCAAAACAGTGTCGTGGTACAAGCCAAAATCGAATGGTAGGTGTCGCTGAGTTTCTGGATTTGTGCACCCCTGCACCTGCGAGGTAATGGTCCAGTCCGGGAATTTCGCACCCAACCACCGTCTCACCTTCGCTTCCGTCTTCCTGTTGCAGAAACACCCTGGTGCTCTGCCACTTTGCAAATTGTTCAATGTGGTGCTCTTCGAACGATGGCCACAGGTCTTGCAGGTTACATCCACTGTCGACCTCCTACCCTTGATGTTTTCTCTCCACCATTTCCAGTCCATGCGGCTTGCATCGTACTGCTCGTCATAGCGGCCCTTCAGCATCGAAAGACAACGGGCATGCCCTTCCCGACTGGACCAAGGAACGCCCCCATTGCAGAAACAACCTGGTGCACGGCCACTTTGCAGACTGTCCAATGTGGTGCTCTTAGAACGATGGCCACAGGTCTTGCAGGTTACATCCACTGTCGACCTCCTACCCTTGATGTTTTCTCTCCACCATTTCCAGTCCATGCGGCTTGCATCGTACTGCTCGTCATAGCGGCCCTTCAGCATCGAAAGACAACGGGCATGCCCTTCCCGACTGGACCAAGGAACGCCCCCATTGCAGAAACAACCTGGTGCACGGCCACTTTGCAGACTGTCCAATGTGGTGCTCTTAGAACGATGGCCACAGGTCTTGCAGGTTACATCCACTGTCGACCTCCTACCCTTGATGTTTTCTCTCCACCATTTCCAGTCCATGCGGCTTGCATCGTACTGCTCGCCATAGCGACCCTTCAGCATCAAAAGACAACGAGCGTGCCCCTCCCGACTGGACCACGGAACGCCCCCATTGCAGAAACAACCTGGTGCACGGCCACTTTGCAGACTGTCCAGTGTTGTGCTCTTCGAACGACGCCCACATGCCTTGCAGGTTACATCCACTGTCGACCTCTGACCCTTGATGTTTTCTGTCCACCACGGCCAGGTCATGTGGCTTGCATCATAACGAGTGTTTTCAGGTCGCTGCAGTATTTGCAGGGCCCGATACCAACCAGTCTGACTTCGCCACCGAAAGGTTGAAGCGTGCGGCGCTCTGCTTTTGACTGCCCGCCTGTGAACCAAAACTGGCCTTTGCGCTGCCGGGAGCTCGTGCGTGGCGAGGCATCCTGCCTGCTTCCATAGCGAAGCGCTCCACACAGCGGCCGAGAGTATTGCGGTGATGGCCCAACCCAGAGACCAGGGCCTACAGCGTGCCATGTTGGTGGAATGGGCACCGAGCTTTCACAAGCCAACAGGTGCCTGCAACAAGCACGTTTGCCAGATAGGCTTGGGGCTCAATACTGGTGTCTGGGATCTACGATCAGATCTATGTTTAGCGATCTCGAGGGTTTGATAAATGTTGACAGGAGTTGTGAACACGTGTTCAGGGCTTATGGTCTGAGGGGGTTTTGAGGTGGATGCGAAGTTCGGGCTCCCATGTTGGATGCAAAACTGATAAGTCTTGTAACCGTGGCAGTTAGATAAGTTAACACGAAAGCCCGAAAACGCCCTAAAGCCTGAACCTCTCAACCCCTACGCCTTAACCCTAAACCCCAGAGACCATGGGCTGCCACACTTCAAGGTCCATTCCTCATAGACCTCAAGGCCGAAGCCTGCAGCCCCGAATCGAAAACCTGACTCCCCAGTTGTAAGGTAGGTATATGACAGTATATGACAGTGGTAAGCGACTTAGGACTTATAGGGCAGACTGGGCTGTAAGTGCGGTTGCAGATTCTAGTCCGGTTACGAGTCAGCCGAACCCAAAACCCTCCTATGGAGGCCTTAATAGCTAGGGTAGGGCTTTAGGGTCCAAAGGGGGCCTGTCAGAAAACGAGATTATACCGAACCATCGGCCCTAGCATGATACCACACTCCTCACCCTTGGTGCCTCTCCAGCATCGGGGCCGAGCCAATGCAAAGCTTTGTGGCTTGCCTGTCAACAATCGGCTGGCTGTGCAGAAGGAGAGGTTGCCTTGGTGGGGCCTCATAAGACAATCAACATCACTCTGAAAAAAGGACCCTCCTACTCTAGAGAATCACGCAACTTGACCACTGAAAACTGGACTTGAAGGGCTCGGCATTTGGCGCCTAGCACTCAAACGTACTCTTTTTTGCGCTTACTCTTTAGCTTCTGGTTTAATTAATACCTTGTGAAATGTTTGGGCGATTCGCTGAGCTGACTGCTTCCTGCGCCAATTGTGAGCGGCAGGACGACCACCAACCAGGTCCCAATTCCGCACTTTAACCCTGTATAACCTACCTTCTTACGATTCCTTATTATGATTTCCTGAAAAACCTGAAGAAGGCAGGTTCTTCAGGGTCTAGGTACGCCATCAGCGAGCCGACTTCCTTAAACATAGAGAAACCTCAGCTAGAAACCCAGCACCTGCAATCCACTAGTCTAAACCCTAACTAAACCTGGACCCGCCATCTACCCTCTATCAGACCCGAAATACCTTGAAATTGGGACCATATACAAGGAGGGCGCTGGAACCCTTGAAGCCTCAACCCTAAACCCAATGGCCTGGAAGAAGAGGCGGAAGAACTTGAACACCGAGGTGTGCAATTCGGGATTGCTTGGGTTCAGGAAGTGCATGTGCACATCGGTTGCCTTGGCTTGGTTTAGGGCTTAGGAGGATGATAAGGTTTAAGGTTTAAGGTTGGGTTTCAGGACCGTGGGATTTATGGACTATGGACTACGTTACCTGTGGCCCAAACTGTCATTTAACCTAGGGTTCCTAATCATGATCTCAGGTACAAAGGCAGGTTTAAGCGGGCTAAAGATGGGTGCAGACACACATTCTTCATACTCAAGTCATGGGCTGTCAGACTGCCCACGCCCTCTCCCAGTCTCCTGCAAACACAGCCGAACTAAGTCTCTTTCTCTCTCTCGCTCTCTCCCCAAGACCCTCAAACATAAGCCCTCAAACACTGAACCCTAAACCCCAGCCCTCCTGAAGCCAACTGCTTCAAGCGACGAGGCTGTGGGTTTCACCCGCCTCCTCCTTGTGTGGGCCGACCAGAACATGCCTCACTGCTGGGCTCTTAGGGTTTAAGGATTCGTAGGGTTCCCTTAAAAGAAACTATTGGTGCTCCTTTACTCTTAAGGATTGGGGATCTGTAGGATTCCTTGAAAGGGAACCATCATCCTGTAAGGGACCTTCTAGGGGATCAATAAGAGTTCAGGGCTTCGGGTTTCAAAGGGTTTAGGGCTTAGGGTCGGCTCTCCAGTCTTGGGTGTGAAAGCTTCTTGACTTGTACAATTTCCGAAGCGCTAAACGCTAAACTCTGAACTCTTTGAGATCCCTTATAGGATCCCAACAGGAACCCCACAAAACCTTATCACGGACCTGGCTGTCGGGTAAAACAAGTGTCCAATATCGGGGCCGTAACGATGACCATTACCAAAATAAGGAACCCGAATCTTACAAACGAGTCGCAACATAGTGCTATTAACAATTCAGGTTTCGAGATTCTACTTATGGGGTTGAAGAGCCGTGTGGGAGCCAACCGACAGGCAATCCGGGACCAAGCACAAGGCAAATTCTTGACTCTTACGTACACTTATTACAAGACAGAGCAATGCCCCAGTGTCACTGAGTACAGGAATCTGAACAACAATTACGGTAACATCGAGCTCCCAGGCAGAGCGGTGTCGCAGTATTCAATCGGGCTATACACACATCACCTCACGAATTAATAACTGAAGCCCTAAGTTCTAAACCCCTTGCGAACCCCAAAAGTCGCACAACCTCCTCTCCCACAGTTTTGTCAAGCCAAGGGCTGGAGCGAAGTGCCAGGCCGAAAACGGATGCCCTGAGCTACCTCAGAAGTATCACTGGTCTCGGTTGTCTTTCGGGGCTGTGGGCTTTCAGACGTTTTGTGGGGCCTGTAGGGCTTCGGCTTTGGCTTAGGGCCAGACCTCAGCAGCGGGCAACGACCGAAAACAACACCCATCTTCCGACGCTACAGATGCTGCCAGCATACACGAAATAGACACCAGCAGCATGACTGTCACCCTCGTCATGCCCAGGGCATCACGACCATCATGCTTATCATCCGGGATGACATCATGCATAGCAGACATGCACGCATTCCTGTCTGACTTCGGAAAACTATTGAGTAGTCAATGTCAAGCATATCGAAGTACCCAGAAATGCAGCTAGACCGTCGTCTGCTAGGTTTCCTTCTAGCACCTAAGCCCTAAACCCCAAACCGCCTAAACCCTAAATATCCTAAATCCTAAATCTAAACCGCCTAAATTAAACCCTAAACCGTGAACCGCCTAACTTAAAGTTGACCCGCCTAAACCCGAGACCCTAAACCCCTAAACCGCCCAAAACAAAAAAGGTAACCGCCTGAAAGCAGACTCAACCCTAAACCCTAACCCTAAACGCGAAACGTTTGTTCGCAATATGCAGCAGGGGCGCAGCTTGCGGGCGTGTTCCCGTGGCCCAGTCCTCACGGAGCCACTGGAAGTCCTGCGGAGGTCAGCACTATTTTCTCATTGTGATTATGTTCTTCATCATTATTTTTTATCACTAGTATAGTTGTTGTTGCTAGCCTTATTATTGCCATTATTATTTCTAGCAACTAGTACTGCAACTGTTACTGTTATTCATACTGCTAGGATAACTTCCATTGTTACCATTAAGGCCCTATCCAGCAAAACCTCTGTACCGGTTTCTAGCTGCGGTATCCATCTGCCGATGTCTGTGTGGCTTCCTTGATTCACGTTCAAACTTCGTCATGCTAGCATCAGCAGCAACATCACCAACATCGCCTAAACCCTATAAGTGTAAACCCTGAACACCGCACCCCAAACCCTTAAACCCTGAACTCTGAACCCTGAAGCCCTTGAGCCCCAAACCCTAAACCTTACACCCCAAACCCAGAGGCTTAAACGCGAAAACCCCAAACCCTAAACCCCAGCCTCCAAAGCTAGCAGCTCTGGGTGCGGAAGAATGATACTACATGAATACTATAACACTAACCCCTCAACTATAATACTACAATACTACAAATTACTATGATACCATATTACACTGATACTGTAGCACTACAATATATTATAATACCATAATACACTGATACTGTAGGACTAGAAGCAGCTCTGGGAGATCCCCGTCCGGCCTCCTTCGACAAACGGAGATCTTGCGAGGAGATCTCGAAGTTCCTCCACCCCAAAATTTATAATGGTGTGTGTGTGTGTGTGTTTCTTTTTTTTGGGGGGGGTCCAATGTTTTTCTTTTTTTGGGGGGTCCAATGTTTTTCTTTTTTTAGGGGGGGTCCATGATCAGGGCTTCATAATGAGGGCTTTTGAGTCTTAGAACAATGACAATGGTGTTTCTGTGTTTTGAAATGTTTTGAGGGTTCTACAATTCTATAAGAAGGGCTTTGTAGTGAGGGTTTCAATTCTTTGGGGTTTGTCATGCTTCGAATAGGATTATGGGGTATGTTATGGTCTAGTATTATACTGGAAGAGAGAACAATAAGGAATAGCAGTATTAAGTGCTGAGACCCTTTTGTTGAACTTCCAGGTGCCGAGTCCCCTTGCTCAAATTGCTCAGTTCCGATAAGGAGGCCTTTCAACATGAGGGTTTAGGGTTTAAGGCTGTGCAGGGGTTTGGGGTTCACGACTGAGGGTTTAGCGCTTACCAGGAAAGTGTTTCCTATATGTCTCCATTGTAGCTCCTATTTTTTGTATAAGCCAAGCATATATTTAGGAGTAGCCGAGTCGAGTAGCCCCCGCCAAAAAAGAACCTCAGCTGTGGCAGTTCTCGGGCTGCCTCTTCTTCTATCATGCTTGATGCCTTTGACTGTTGCTTCCCGTTGCAGGACAAAAAACCGTGTCCCTCGAGGCACGTGGAAATAAAAACCCCCGAGAGAAGAAGGCCCCGGCAGCGCAGGACTGTTGCCGTAAGAATGTAAGACATCTTCGGGGGCGATGACCTACTAAGGGGGGCCGTGGAAACCAAATACCCCGTTCCTTTGGTTGCGTTGGAGGTTGGTAATGTAATGGAGTTATCGGGTTTAAACGGGGTTTACAGACATTCCAAAGGCCCACAGCTACGCCGTATGCAAAAACACTTTCGAGTTAATATAGGGGCCTATAATAAATATAAGAAGGAACCCCTCACAATACTACAGGTAATTATTTAGGTCCCTATAGTACTTGGGCAAGCAAGCACACTCCGAAGAAGGATCTTCAGACTGCGGAGCGCCACATCCCCGCGACCCCGAAACTAAAACCCTGTTTCCAGGGAAAACACCTTCCAAAGAGAGCACTGTGCCCTCTAAGCAGTCCAAACAGGGGGTGTTTGATCAACCGTACAGAGATCCTTATCGTGACCAATGGACTTTTGCTGAAACAAATGTCAGGCTCCGGGTCTTCATCTGTGAAGACCGCCACTGACAGTAAGCCCTGCATAGATTCTTAACGGTCCCAAACCCTGAATCCGAAACCCTGACCTAAACTCTTAAACTTTAACCCCCCGAACTTCAAACCCCTACTCCCTAAACCCCCGAACCCCTTAACCCTAACCCCTAAACCCTAAACTCCCAAACCCGAACCCTAAGCCCCTAAACCACTAAACCCTCACCCTATACATCCCTTTAAAGGAACCCTATAGATCCCTTTTAAAGAACCCTATAGATCCCTTTTAAGGAAGCCCTAAACTCCCAAAACGCGACACCCCCGGACCGGCCAGTCCTGTCGTGCATGTTAATTACACATTGGCGATGGGTGTGCGGGCTCTTGGTATCAGAGAAGAGAAACTCCAGCGCTGACTTGCGGCTCGCCTGTGTTGGGGCTTCGGGTTTAGGGGTTACCTATAGTCTCCCTTGTAGTTCCTTTGGGGGTTCCCGTTTAGGATCCTTAATATATACTTGGTAAAACCCAAAAAAGGAACTACCATGGAGACTCTAGGTAGGGTTTAGAGGTTCAAAATCGAGGGCTTGGGCTTAGGTTTTTGGCCTTGGTTTAAGGCTTAGGAGTTTCGGGGTTTAAGGTTGAGGGTTTAGGGTTTTGGTTGATGGCTTAGGAGTTTCATTGGGGCTGTCGGGTGATTGTGCTGTTGACAAAACGAATTTGTTTTGCACAACCCAATGCAGCAACTCCAACCCTAAACCCTAAACCCTAAACCCTAGACTCCTCAAACCCTAGACTCCTCAAACCCTAAACCCCTAAGCACTAAACCCTTAGTCATGGGCCCTACTCAAGGCCGACCCAGAGTAAATCGGGCGGCTTGGGACTTAGGGCTTCAGGGTTTGGGGCTTCTTCTTCAGAGCCTTTTAGGGTTCAGACTGCCCCTTAGGAGAATATGGCACCTCATTTATGTCTATCTATCTATCTATCTATCTATATATATATATATATGTACCTATGTATATATATATATATGTGTACCTATATATGCATGTATATATGCATGAACACTTGCGTGTGTGTGTGTGTGTGTGTGTGTGTTATACTGCATACATGTATATACTAGAGTATGAGTGTTGGTGCAATTCTTCGGATTATTGTAATCGTAGTTGCTTTTTTGTAATACTGTCATTACCATCAATTTCATTAGTATTGCTGTGGTATAGGGCCTAAACCAGCCGGCTGGCCTTTGACGCACCGCAGATCGCTTGCTTGCACTCCATCAAATGATGAAAGATGTCCCCAAGGCGCCACCTTCAGCGGGTTGGGGTCGAGGGTTGTTTAGGGTTTGGGGTTTAACGGCTTGTAGGATTTCAGTGTGAAACATAGCTAGGCAAACAAACACGGGGTCGATTCAGCCTACAGCAGACCTTATAGCACTCCTCACATGACATCCAACGAAATCACCTATACTGTTTTGGTGTTCCGTATTATCAGTATAGTTGTTCTAACTAATAAGCCCCCTATATTTGCCATACATAACCCTGAACCCCAGACCCTAAACCCGATGCGATTGTGGTGGCAGTAGCATCGTAGTATGCATCGGATGCTTCTATGAGATCAAACATCTAAGCCCAACAGTAATCAGTCTACCACTAAACCCCTAAAAATCGAACATATTATCGCAGTCTTGTTTGCTCGACGTTGCGCGAGTGATGACAGGAAACATGCAACAACGGCTCCAAACTATGGGACTCTGGCATGTTCCGGTTCTTGTATACCAAAACCCGGCGGAGGACTGATGAGAGCACAAGATGATGACTCTTCCTGCCGCAATGGAAAGGCCTCTATAAACAGAATATGGCTTTGGGGAGTCCCTTGTAGTATAACTATTACAAGGAACCCCAAAGAATAATGTGGATAGTTATTCAGGCTCCTATACTACCGTGTCGCTTCCCCGTGCCACCCGTCCTCGAGGTCACTGCGAAACACAAGACAAGTTGCCCCCTCCTAAGGCCCGCGGCCCGAAGGCCCTGAACCCTTGTCAAAACCCTAACCTGCCAAACGCCGATCGGTAAATGCAAAAACCAAAAACGCCTCGTAGAATCAATGCAATGCCCTGTGAATCTCATGAAACCGCTACAAAACCACGCAAACCTCCACGAAGCTTCGTATACAACTCACCAGCGCCTTGCAACTCAAGGCCCTGAGCCCTAAACCGTAAAGGGAACTCCAGAAAGTTGGAATATGGATTAATGGTAGGATCACCTATAATTTACCTTAAAGGGGTTACGATAATGATATTCCAACTTTCTGGCTTCTACTGTAAAGCCTGCAACCGACCAAAATCATCAAAGCCAAGCAACCCTATGGGTGCCGCCATGCAAGGAGTCAGAACTTGCCTGGTGCAAGCAAAGTGACACCGGATTGGGCGCAGATCTTCATGCGAGCTTAGGGTTTAGGGTTTAGGGTAAGTCTTCATGGTTCTCCTACACACTCCTACTGGATTGCCTTTAATCATGGCTCTTCTTGGTCGTTTACCAAGGTTTTGACACTGCATTATGAGGTTTGCATAGACGATACAACCACCCAGTCCCTGACCCCGGTCCGAAGGGTCACTGACACCAGACTATTCAAGCCAAAAGTTGTGGTCGCGGTACTATTTAGGCCGCTACATTAACCCTAAACTCCAAACCCTAAACCCTGATACCCCAAAACCCTAATCCTCACTGAGCTGCACCAGCGCTTCGCGCACGAATTCTCTGCAGGCCCCGCGGCGGCCGTTTGGGCCCGGATCTGGCGTTGCCTTTGGATTTAGCTTCCCAGACCTTCCAAAATCCCTTAATGGAGGAGTATACCAAAAATTATATAAGGGTCCCTACTATGATGTAAGGTATATTCCTTAATTTGGGGATTTGGGAAGGTCTGGGTAGGTTCTTTGACAGAAGCGGATCTTTGGCTCTGAGGGTTCTTTCATGTAATTCAAGGTTTATATAATGCTTCATACAGGGTTGCAGCGGTGTTTCTAGACACTTCTGCCTCTTGGGGATTGGGGTGTAACAGCGGTAGTCTCGCCAGTATCAGTATGATTTGCAACTGCTATACGTACGAGTACTGTTCTTGTTCTGACGTTCTGTTCAAGCCAAAGCAACGGCCAAACCCTCAAGCCCCCAAAACGCGTAACCCCAGAACCCGAAACACCAAAAGCCCCAAACGTCACACAGACTTCGGGCAACTCTCTATAATCCTCCCTACTTGCGAAATAAACCTGGACTTAAACATGTCTTGGCTTAAGGAGGATTCCTCGAAATAAGGAGTTTCGGTGGCGGTCCCTGAGTAAGAGGCCTGAAACCCCAAACCCCCCAACCTTAAACCCTCAACGCTCAGAAACCTGTACCCCAAACCCTAAACCTTGCCGATTTCAGCTGCTTGAAGCAGCGCAAGCTTCTCCAGGCCGTCTGCGAGCGGCTGCCCCTCTTCCTGGATTCGGGTTTACATGGGCTTGAGGTTAGGGTTTGGGGCTATAGGGGTTTGGGGTTCTCACAAGGCTCTAAAACTGCCTTTACGGCTTCCTTCAAGGGCTCCTGTAAGGGGTGCTCTGATGGTTCCTATTAGGGGTTCGGGCTTGGAGCTGTTCGAGGGTCGTATTTACGAGTGTTGCTACAAGGGTTGTAGTCAAACGAAGTCACGAGTTTCCTCATTCCGGAACCTGGCACTGGCATCCTTAAGACCCTGCAAAACCATCCCAAACACGAGAAACACAAACGATATACAGCGCTTCTACAAACACAGGAGAATCTCTCTTCTTGAATAACCGGGCCCAAACAAGCCCAAACTCTCCAAGATGGCTCAACTATATAGGGGGAACAAACTAAAGGTTTACAGTCTCCCTTTTTTCAGTACTATCCTATAGAGCCCCAGTTACCTGAATAGCAGGCTACTAACCACATCTTGTTTACCCAGGAACCGAATATTAGTTGCTATCATTGTCTTTCTTCGTATCATTAGAATTAAATGCGTAGTATTTTATGATAACTGGAGCCCTGGCATTCGGCATTAGGATTGTGGCTTGTCCTCCTATCCCTTCCCCCAGTGCGTCGCACCTCAAACTCTACACAACAGCAAGTATGGGCTTAGAATACAACCTGAATTACCTATAGTCTCCATTGTTTTCCTTTTTTTGGTTTAAATAGTTATATATCAAGGATCCCATAAGGTAACCCGAAAAAGGAACTACAATGGAGACTATAGGTACACCTCAGGATCCTTCTAGAACCTTCGTGAAACTGTCATAAAACCCTTTACCCGGGTTCTTAGAGTCCGGTGGCTCTCAAGAACCCCCCGAGTTCCTCTGCAGCTGGACTGGTGGAGTCTTTTTCAATACTCTTCGGCACCGCCTCCACCACCTCAGGGATCTCGGATCTCGGGTTGCTTTGAAATCGATACCTACGCCCCCAAAAGTAGGTAAAATAATGGCCCCACACCTATAAGGGGCTATGACTCTACATACTTCTCGGGTCTCCAGGTAATGTCGTTGTGGGGTGTCTAGATTCTGTTTGAGGGGTTGAGGCACTTAGGCAAAGCAGTGGAAACACTTCTTTGAACCCTTAACCTAAAAAACAAGACGATGAAACCCCCGCAAAAAACTGACCAAATCCAACACCTTCACCCCGACACCCAAGACCGTCCCCAAACCCAAAACCGTGAAATCCCAAAACCCTCACCCCCAAATCCTAAACTCCCAAACCTTAAACCCCTAAACCCTAACCCCTAAACCCTAACCCCTAAATCCTAAACCCTTAAACCGAGAAGCCCCTTTTGCCAGGTCCACCTGCTCCTCGACGCTTCCCTGGAGCGAAGACGCCGCGGAGACCTCGAACGTCGCCTTGTCCAACTCGAGAGTCTCCACTCCTCCGAAAGTAATACTTACCCATAATAAGGAATATGCCATAATTCCCATAGTCTAAGGTCTTAAAGGTCATGCAGGATTTATATCATCAACCGTAGGACAGGTTCACGAAGGTTCTAGAAGGATCCTGAGATGTACCTATACTCTCCATTGTAGTTGCTTTTTGGGGTTACCTTTTAGGATCCTTAATATATAGTTGGTTAAACCAAAAAAGGAACTACATTGTAGACTCTTGGTAATACTTACCTCCTCCGAAAGTAATACCCAGAGACTCCCATATCCCTTAAGTAACGAATATACCTTAAGTCATATTAGGGATCCTACTATGATTTAAGGCACACTCCTCCGAAAGTACCTACAGTCTCCATTGTACTTCCTTTTTGGGGTTACCTTTTAGGATCCTTAATATAAAACTGGTTAAACCAAAAAAAAGGAACTACATTGGAGACTCTAGGTAATACTTACCTTAGGTACTGCCCCCATACAGTAAGAGCCTATGACAGGGCTACTATTAAGGTCCTGATATATATATATATATATATAATATTTTTTTGAATTTTGAACTATTGCTGAGTGGGGGGCCGTACCTAATACTTACCTTTGGTTAGTAGGGAATGGAAGAATGGTAGTAATAGTAGTTATAATTGTACCCCATTCCTCCATTCCCTACTAACCGAAGGTAAGAAGATAAGATGGGTCCCGATTCAAAAAAAGGGGTATTCCTTAAAGGGAACTACGATAAGCAACTATAAGGCTTCCTTAAGGAGATCGATAATGGTTCTGTTTCCTATCCCAAGACAGTGTTCTTGAAAGGGAACCACTGTCATTACAAGATTTCCTTCAAGGGATCTGTAAGGGTTCCAACTAGGACTGTTTAAGGGAAGTCTTAGGGCAATAATACCTATAATCGTTCACATGGGGAACTATAAAACTATAAGGCTTCCTGAAGGGTTCCTTGATTAACCCAAAGGGTCCATATATGCTTCTATTCTGGAATTCGGTCACAATATATCATCCCTATTATAGGCTTGGGGACCTAATTCCATGATGGCAGTACATATGGACCCTCTGGGTAAGGAACCATAAGGGTCCTCTTTGGTATACATAAACCCTAAACCCTTGAACCCTTAAAATAAACCCTTAAACCCTAAACCCTAAACCGCGAAACCCTAAACCCCTAAACAACATAAACAAAAGGGCTGTGGGGCTTACCTTGTTGTACACTACCAGGCCTACGATGGTTCCCAAACAAATGGATTCCTCAAATTAAAGAAAACTACTAGAATGAGAGGGATTCCTTGTGGAACTACTAGAAATATAAGATTTCCTGAAAGGGAACTGCTAGAATAACAAGGATTCCCTGTATGAAACTGCTGCGATTAAGTAGAAGATTTCCTCAAAGGGAATCCCTTCAGCTAGAAGGATTCCGCACAAGGAACTACTATAAATACAAGATTTCTTGAAAAAACAAACTATTAAAGGTTCCAGGGGTCTTCCTGGCTAGTCGTTGCGGGTTTTGCCTAACCCCGCTGACGCATGCACCTTGCTGCTCCACAGAGTGGCCAGAGACTGCAAAAAACCGTAAAAAAGGAATATATCTCAAAATATACAGTAAGATCCCGAATATGATTTGAGGCATATTCCTTGATTAAGGATTAAGGGATATTGGAGTCTCTGGGTGGTTCAGAGCATGCTGCCCAGCTCCCTACGGCTTTACTGAAGAATCGAAACTTGTATTGCAGGTTTGATGGAGTTACTGCGGGTTAATACATGGCCCCGTAACTGCTGCCCGCAGACCACATCCAAAACATACTTGTGTGATCAATTCTCCCCTTAGACTTAGACTTCAAGTAATATTCCGCAGGGGGGTATGGGGCGCTCCGGTGCTTCGCATAGTTGACTCTGCCACGAACACCCTGCATCGGAGAACTGTCGACGAAGAGACGACAGGGCTTATGGGAAGTCTCTGAGCAAGACCTATAGTCCCCATTGTAGTTCTTTTTTGGGGTTTAACCAATTTTATAGTAGGGATCCCAAAAGGTGACCCCCAAAAGGAACTACAATGGAGACTATAGGGAGTTCTCCAGTAAATCTCTCAGACAAGTTGTGGCTAGGCAGCAAATGCCAGGCAGCAGCAGTCAACGAGCTATGCTTAGCTTCGCCTGTGCTGCGACTAGATTAGCGCCGCGGAATTCCGGCGAGAAATGACCAACCCCAAGCCCAAGTGTCCTGCATCTTCGCCGCTGCAGCATCGGCAGGCTTTTGCCCCCATGGCGTATGCAAAACATCTATGATTTGGTGATGTCTCCGTGGTGCAACGGTCGACATTGCTTTGCTACTGCTGTTGGCCTGTACGACTCAAAATTTCAAGAAACTGTATGTCCTAATGACAGTCATGTGCCGCAAGTCTTGTGGAAAATGTTGCTATTCGTGTGTTTACTCCGCTTTCGTCCGTGCTCATGTTGATAATGAGTGTTCTACTATATGGCTCGACTACGCTCCTGGGGGCTTAGCCCTCTCAAGCAGCGGACTCAGCACGGCCGAAGGTTCGAGCAGTACAACAGGTCGCTTAGTGCACCATGGTGCTACTAGCGAAATAAGTGTACAACAGCTACGATATCATGACCATGGAAAGCATCATCATCACAATCACCATCATCACAGTGATTAATTATCATGACCAGTTTCTGATGCATCCGAACCATGCCACTGCGGTGAACATCGGAAAATGCAAAAGTTTAACTCAGTATTGTGTCCCTGGACACATCTTGCAGGTACCCGGTCGTTGCGGGAAAGAGGTGACGCCGTGGCAAGTTGGCAAGGGGGAGTGTGGGGTAAGGGCCCAAGAAGCATCTAAACCGTGGGGAGCCTACTGTTTTGGGGTATTGGCCCCTATGAGGTCTTACATTCGGCGGCACATGGGCCCCTGTAACTTTGTGGGAGACTCTAGAGACCCTCAAATGCACGATCCTTCTATGAATATGATGGTTTAGGGTTTCGGGTTTAGAGTTTAGGGTTCTATGAACATGGTTTAGGGTTTCGGGTTTAGAGTTTAGGGTTCTAGGAACATGGTCTTCTGAACCGTTACAACACCATCTTGGAATCTTGGGAATGTCTGTAAGCAAGCAACAATTGCCTTAACGATTGCCTTGCAACATCTTCCGAGATACGCTGCACTAGGCACAGCCCTCTTCGGCCTTACTGCTACTACTACTACTACTACTACTACTACTACCCACTACTATGCTACCACTGCTACTGCTACTGCTACTACTACTACTACTACTACTACTACTACTACTACTACTACTACTACTATTACTACTACTACTACTACTACTACTACTACTACTACTACTACTACTACTACTACTACTACTACTACTACTACTACTACTACTACTAGCTCCTAGGCACCCCGAACCCCACGGGGATCGCAAAGGTTCAGAGCTCAGTTCACAGATGGGCAGTTCTTCAAAAAAGGGCCCCTTCTAGGTCCCCAAACATGGAAGGTCAGGCTTATACAAAAAGCATAAAACTGATCTTGAAGAGCTACCCACGGGCCAAAAACGTCGAGTCATCGTCCGCTATTTCGTTTGGGCTGAGACTTTCTGGGTCTTATGGCTCCATAGAGGCCAATTCAGCACAACTTTAATTGTATCTGTGTGTATGTATGTAATTTTATATATATATATATATGCTACGACACTCCGAGTAACCTCCACCCTGAACCCTGACCCTTACGGCTATCAAACTAAGCTTTTCCTTTGCCTCGTGCACCACATCGTCCTGGGGGACGAAACCCATGACCGTCTTGTAGTCCTCGTAAGTGCCTGCCACGGCGAAACATGGGAGAGGCTCCCCCAAGGAGATTTTACAAGCTCTATAAGGCTCGTATGAGGGGCTTAATTAAGGCGTTTAGGGTTTAGAGTAGAGCTTATGGCACTTTTATTTGACAGGATTTGGGGTTTTGGGTAGCCACGTAGTCCTCGTAGCTGCCTGTGTCGGGTGTTGTGATGGCCCTTCATGCGTTTCTCATAGGATTGCAAGGGAAGGGGCCGTTAGAAGGTCTGATGCTTATGCTGCGAGATATGTTGAACCGCTCTAACTTCAAGGCTGTCTGATATATTACCATAGTAAGGATTTACAAGGGTTCCTTTAAGGGTTTAGGGCTTTAATCTAAGTTACCATATGCGAAGGGATGCTAATCAAGGCCTTAAGCTACGAGCGTAAGAACCATGATACAGGTGAAAAACATCATCACAGCAACCATAACCAACACCCATCACCATCGTATCGTCTCTATGGTCACCTTGGTCATCATGATGATGATCATCATCATGGTCATCGTCATCCTCATCGTCGCCATCACCATCATAACCAGCATCGGCAATACCAGCAACAGCAACGTCGCTAGGAGGTCAGCGCCATCATCAGCAAAACGCAGCAGAATTATCCACATGGGGCTATCAAACCAGAACGGCAGCAGCAGGGAGCATGCAGGACGTGCAAACAGCCTGCCTTCCTGGCCGTTGAAGCAGACGCGCCCAGAGACATACGCATAGTTTGCCTTGCCGCATAGCACATTCCTGAGCCAACGGTACAAGCAAAATTGTGCACAGGTCCTGCGGGACTGGGGACCCAAATGTCGCAAAGATCCGACCCTCCCTCCCAGTCCACCCCAAAACCCGTAAACCCCTAAACCCTGTACCCCTAAACCCCTGAACCCCTACACCTCTGAACCCTAAATCCGCAAGCATATTTTTGGGCCATGATGCATGAGGCTGGTTTTGCCTGCGCCGGATGGGCCCAGGATAGCACCTTAGCTTGTCGCCGTAAGGTCTTGACGCGGGCTTCGCAGGGCCTTGTAGGGGCGATTAAAAGAGGGCGCCTTACAAGTTAGTTTTAGGGTTTAGGGTTTAGGGTTTAAGGTTTAGGGCTTAGGGTTTAGGGGACTGCGAAGCACAGAGTTTCATAATTTGGTAGGCTTGTGCTGGCCCATTGGCTTTGGGCTGGACGCTGGCTCAAAGCCGACAAAAGGATTTGCGAGTCCTCTTGAGGGCTTCGAGATTGCACCCTCTTGCGGTCGGGCTTAGGATACGGGGAGTCTGACACTTCGACGCAGAATCTTTCCCGCCTGTGAGCTGTTTGAAATGATAGCAGTTACTATGACTGTGATGGTTATTATTGTTAATATAGTAATACCACGTACGGCTATAATAGTACTACAACTATAATGCCCATAATAACAAAACTGTACCTATAAGCGCTCTCCCCCTCTCATGGATGACTAGTGCGGCAAAGGCACACATCCGGCCGGCTTTGAATTCTCCGTTGACATCTGACAGCAGGGAGAAACACCCAGGGAGCCCCAAAGTTGAACCGTAATTAGCGAATGTTCTTTGAACTATCTGAGAGTTTCCGAAAAGTGGGGGGGGGGGGTACCTTATCTTGGGGTCCTGATAGTAAGGATCCTATCATTTAAATCAAAATTTAGGTACTATATTAGGGTCCCCCATTTTCGGAAACTCCTATATGTAGGGTATGTATGTTCAATTGAGGGGTGCTGGCTTCCCAAAACAAAGGCAGGCATGGGTGAGTTCAGAACTCCCTCCTTGAACTCCTCAATGAGCATGAACATATATGCGGCTTATGCGTCATGCACTCAAAGAAGGGGCGGTTATCAATCAGGCGTCTGAATTCAATCCTAAATTCAACAAACCGATACCAGAAACCGGAACATCCTGGATTCGTCAGAAGCTTTCAACCTTTGCACGCCCCCAACCGGAAAGCCATGGCACTTACACTTTTCAACACTTCAACTTCATGGCTACTGTTTTAACCCTACAGCCTGACCTCTAAACCCCAAGCCCGAACACCCAAAGCTAAACCCTGAAACCTATGCTCCTACATCAACCCTGCAAAAGCCACCTATCAAAACCCTTTCAGAAGCCCGTAAAGAAATCCTTATGGAATCAGAAGCCTAATATAGGGGCCTCAATGATTAGAATAGGGTTTGGGTGCCCATTATTACACCATAAGTAGAATAAGGCCCGTCCCAAAACAGCATTGGTAATTTTTACTATTTGAATCCCCATACCATAAACCCAACCATTGGGGATTTCGAGCCTTCCAAGATCTTCTCACCACTTGGAAGCTCGAGGCAAATATTCTCGAAGGACACACTCGCCTCGGTGGAGTAGGTGGGGATTGTAGGGGGTCTGAGGCTTAGGCTTTAGATAAGGTTTTCGGTTTAGAGTTTAGAATTTTTTCAAGGACTCATAAGAAGTTTAAGGATTAGGCCTTAAGTTTGGGTTTAGGCTTTACGGTTATCAATGATCTGCGGGAGTTCTCCGAGGGTTCTTTGTAGGTTTCTTGCGGGTTTAGGGCCTTCTGGCAGGTTGTTATGAGGGCATGGTCGATCAGGGTTTTAGGGCTTGGGGTTTTAGGGTCAGGGTTTAGCGGTCTTGGGGCTTGAGGCCTTGGGGATTAGGCCAGGTCAAAAACCAAGACCAACGGCCGATTTAGGGATATAAACCCCCTTATGATGAAGACCAATAAGTTAGGGATGTTATGCTTATCCTTTCTGGGTCCCTAAGGATTGTACCACACTCGTGAGAAAAATCACGCCGTCGCATCCAGAACTATGTTGCATGGAAATGCCTGAAAGCTGCTAGGTTTGATGGCAGCTCTACAGCGCGCTAGCCAGCCCAAACATCCAAATCTCCAAATCCACGAAACATCCCTAAACCCAGCTTCAAAAGTCCCTAAACACGCTGTTGCTGAACAAGCAGGCGATTATACGCCCGACTCAGACCTCGTGTTCGTGATCTCCAACCAAGCTGCCACTGCCGCCTTCTTGGCCATGCCTCCAAAAGGTTTCGGGTGACTCTGAGCGGATTGGGGGCACTGTTTTCAAGAGGGATGAGTTTTATTGGGGGGTGTGGGGTCACATGCTATTTTTTCGACACCCTACACAGCTAGCTATACTCTAGGGCTCCGTCAACGAAACAAATCGTAGGTTACTAACCATATCTTACGTACCCCAATAATCCATTATTCAGGTTACCGGAGCCCGAGAGTGGATGCATGGAGTGGGTCAGCGGTTTGGGATGTCCAGGTCGTGAGGAGCTATAAAGGACCAGCAAGCTACTAAGTGGAACAGCTTGGGGTGAAAATTGACTTTGACTCGGGTTGGGATACCCGTATAGTTTGCTCGCTTTAACTTAGGGACCCAAAAAAGCACATAAGCAAAAATTTGGATAGGGATAT